ATCTTAGTGAAAGATCAGACAAAAACTAGACAGATCTGGTGACTGCAGCAACTGAGCTGACTGTATAAATTTATGTTCAATTGAAATCTAACTTCATTTCTCAAATTTCAATTAAAATAAACCAATATATATGAGATTAGAATAACCTTTGAAATTCCCCCCAATTAATGTATTAATAATTCCCACCCAAAATTCATCACATTCACAAGCTTCAGTTCAGAGCAGATATGCGACATGTAAAGATATGAGGGTGAGCTTGGTAGTTTTGTTTCCTGCTTTATTTATATCTCACTTCCACTCAAATGTGTCTTTCCCGCTTATACAGAGAAATAGGGGAAAGTGATCTATATCCAAACTAGGTGAGTCATTTGTCTTTTCTTCAGGTAGAGCACTTTCTGACTCACTTTCTTGTCCTTCTCTAATTCTCAATTATTCTAGTAAACGGGACTCACCTGATTGGGTCCTCATTTGTGCTCCTGGAACCAGACATTCTTAAGAAATCTCTCTTGGATCTGTTTTGTGAGCAGCAAAGCTCTGCGTTCTGCTCCTTTTCAGGGAAAAAAAGTGATGTTAGCTGTGTAATTTCCAAAATGAAATCAAAGTTAAATAAATAAAAAGTTATGCAGTGTTTGAATCTAGTGTGTCCCTTCCTTATGAGCAAGAAACAAAATGAAAAGCATTTCCTATTCCTCTTGGGCCATGTCTACACTAATGGGGAAAGTCAATTTAAGATACGCAACTCCAGCTACATAGGTAGCTGGAGTCGACACATCTTAAATCACATTTTTGCGCCTTTCACACAGCAGGAGGTTGACGGGAGCACACGTACCCATCAGATTCCCTTACTCTTCATGAAGAGTAGGACTACTAGTGCCAACAGGGCATCCTCCCATTTTGAATTAGCAGACCATCACTAGGCCTGCTAAATCTAATCCCGGAAGATCAACTGTGGCAGCTTCGATCTTCCATGTAATGTAGACATGGCTTTGGAGTGTTGTAGGAAGATAAATAACCTTTACAATGTTAGCTGAAACCAGTGGGTTTGACAGTGGCAATCAGTGTTATAGTTGCAAAGTTTCAGTAACACAGCTGGGCAAGATTGGATGTTCAGTAAGCTCACCCTCCCGCCAAATTCCATTCTGAATTTTGACTTCACACCAAACTACAAAATCTGTCAAATCACCAAGTATCTCCTTCATCCAGTCTTTTTTAGAGACTGGCTGAATGTTGTCCAGTTGCTGTGCAATGTTATACATCAACCTATATTCATTGAACATGAGATCAGTGCTTGCCATATGAATTGCAAATCTGAGTAACCACTGATGTAAGTTTTGAGTTTGTAAAAAAAACCCTGAAAACTGCCTAGTTTCAAATGGATTCATATTCCCTGCCAACACTTCTTACTTACATTTTAGCATGATACCTGGAATCATAGATTAGTTTTTAAATGATCACAAGACAAAGGAACTTAAATCAAAACATTAGGGGCCAGATTGAAAAGAAAAATAATGTAGACATATACAATTACCACAACTGTGCACACAATCTGGCTACTAGAACAGGCAAATGCACCTAATTAACCATGTGTGCAGTTACCCAGTCTGTGGATGAAACCTTTCCAACTGCAGGTGCTAATTGGATGTCTAATTGTGCATACATTTTGCATGCACAATGGCACAACTAAACTTTCTGAAACGTGACCTTCTGCTTGATTCATGGCTTTATGTCTGTAAAGACATGTATAATAGCCTGAAGTTTTCTACTTAACGTGTTAGCATTGTGTAAAATTCAAAAGACAACTTGGGAAGTTGAATGTTTTGTTTGTTTGTATATGTGTGTTTGTTTTTCAAGGCTGCCAATAAAACTCAGTTTGGATATTCAGAAAATCATAGCTCTTTTCTTTTTTAAAAGTTATGTCTGGTGGCACCATTTAAAAAAACAACTGTGTGATCTTTCTCTTTCCATTTTGGTGAGATATAGTTAATGTTCCAAGTCTTTGATTTATTTATTAAAAGTATTTTACCAGGAAACAAAATAGAGACAGGCCTTCTCATTTACAGTGAGAGCCCAGAGAGCTGTAAATTTACATACACAAAGGACTTGCATCAACCCCTGAACCTTTAATGTTTATTTTGATAGCCCACCCTGCTGGTAAGGTCTTTTGTTAAGAAGCCAGGTACAACAAGGCAGTGCTCCAAACAAACATCACTAGTAGCATTGTTGATCAGGTCATCTGATGTCCTGCCCTTCAACAGTACCCCTTGTCTCTTACCCTTTGCCCCTAGAAAAAGAAGTTAGAGTCCCTGTGGCAGATTTAGCATTTCCTTTCAGTGTCTGCCAATCTATCAAAATTCAGCCACTGCTGTGAACCCATCAACTCAGTGCAAAAAAGAACAAGGCTTACCATAGACCCCCTCAAAGTAGCAATCATTTATCCTTCCCTGAACTTTAGCTGACCTTTGCAAGCATGCTAGAAAGTTAAACATGTAGCACCTTGTTGTGTACAATCTGGTTGTTATTTTTTTACCAAAATGCTTTTTTTGCATTTCATTAATAAATATTTTGTGTTTAGGAGTAAATATTTAAAATAAATAAAGTCTTGGAAAACAGGATACAATTACTTTAACTCCAGCAAAAGAATACAACAAATATGCATATTCTGTATATGAGACAGTTCTCTTTCCTTTGGAGAGGAAGTAAACAAAATAAGTGGATTCCATTCATGAAGATTTATAGATGGGAGGAGGGGAGAGACTGTTCACAGAACAAAATAATGCATTTCTATACAAAAAAATTGTAAAGTAAAATGTTCAGCTCCAGCAGTGAGAACACCACCGAACACCCTCTAACTGCAGAATGTTGTCTAAATATTGGAGATATTTTGTTTTGTTATTCAGAGGGCAGGAGGCGAAAAGGTGAGGTTGAAATGAGAGGAGAATCCAGATTGCAGCCCAGGTTATACAGAGTGTAACTCCCTCTGTAAATTTAAACTGACCTAAAGGGCATGATTACATACATCTCATCATGAGACAATATACTTTTTATTTGTTTGAATTTTATTTGTATTGGTAAAACTGACCTGAAACTGACACAAGTTTATTAGAAAAAGGACTCTCTAAAACAGAGTGGGCTGGTCTTCTTACTTAAGATGGATGTGCCAACTTCTAGTATGATTAGAGAAATGGATAACTCACTAACATCTGTGCAAACTACAATAAAAAGGGATTTAGTGTTACCCCAAGGAAGGTAAAAGAGGCTGTCTGTCCATTAAACGCTTTATTACAGTGCCAGCAGCTTTTTTCTAACTCAGTTATTCCTGCACAGAGCTCAGCACTGTGACTGCCTGTCATCCTTACCAGACAGTGCTTGGGGCTTCGTAGTTTTTTGTGCAAGGTAGATGACAATCAAATGAGTCATTGAGCAAGGAAAGCGTCTGACCCCTAGTGAAGGATTAACTACGGAAAGTGAGTGTGATCATGTCACACCATTACTTAGAATTTTCACAGTCAATTTCTGAAAATATGAGATAACTCCTTAAAGAGACAGCTCTTTCAGAAAATGTTATGAGCCAGCAGAAATTCCCTTCCAGTACAAAGGCAGACAGTGTCATCATGGAGGCATCTCTTTAGTTGCTCAATGCAAAACAAATAGTGCCCTTCTTATGATGGCAGATGAAGTTGGAAGGAAGGAAGAAGATAGAATCCAGAGACATTAGTTATCATTCAACTGTTTTGGATGGAAAGAAAAACAACTTGAGAGAAAAATCTTAAATCTTACAAAGTGCCACAATCTCCCTGTAGATAAATGCAGGAATTTTAAAGTACAAACATGTTTTTAAACACCTAGTGTGTACATGTTTCATTTGATTCTGCTTTATCTTAAAAGAAATAACCTCCCAGATTATTACTTTAGCTCAACTGCCCACTAGGTCTACTGGGAATAGTTAATGTTTTACCTTGCATTAAAATATATGAAGGATGTCTCGTGAATGGCAATGTGAATTCTGACAATGTAGCTGGTCTACAGTGAGAAAATATCCAGCAACTCCAAAGAAATACCACTGAGTTCAACAGCAGCACTACGCCCCAGCTCATTGTTTCTGTGATCCTATTATCACTTGCTCACATTAAAAATCCCTTGTGGTATCAAAACAGAGGCTTGACCCATTAATCAGCAAATGAAGGCCCCATTCAATCTGTTTTACACAACCACATGCAAAATTCTAAATGTGAAATTCATCAAGTTTCTTTAAAAAAAAATCAGCCTAAGACTCTCAAAGCTTAGGCGTGCCAAAATGAGTTAACATCTGCTGCTGCCTGAATCTAATTGAAATGATTCGGTAAAAACTTTACAGATCTGCTGAGTGATTTTGTATTTCTTTTTCAAAATCACCTTGTTCATTTTCTCACCCTAAGTAAAATAAATTCAACCTAGCAAGAAGTTACCCAAATCTTTTCAAATTTTTAAATAAAGGGTGCAATTTTCTTTGGCATTGTGTTTGTAGTGTTTCATAACTGCATTCCCTCACCGGAAAGCTCCATTATCACTGAACAGAGACCTATTAGGAGCACCTTGGAAATTTGGACCTTTTACTAGAACTAGGGTTTAAATAGCTGCTTAATTTATGACATTTTTCGGGGCTGATGGCATTTTTGCTCTCAGGTAAGGTCATCTCAGTATATATATATATATATCCCTTTAAAGAAAGCCAACACAAGATTTTCTTTTTATGCTTTGATTTCAAGTAGCCAACTCTTCAGCTGCTAAAATGTAAGTCACACACAGAATGTATGCATGTTTGATTCTACAGTGTATTTTAAAAAGGAAGATCTTTTATGTGTGTGTAAAAAAGAGAAAAGTGAAAGAAAAAACGAATAAGCATGTGAATAATTAGATCAGATATAGATGCCACCTTTTCTCAGTGTTGAAACTGTGAGGGGAAAAAAGTGCTACCATATAATTGACATAATTGATCTATTTTTTTCTCTTTTTTGCTGCAGTAATTTTTTATGCATGCCATTGTTGCTGTTATTATCCAAGATGTGATCTTGTGTGGTTGATAATACTGACTAGATATGAATACTGGTAAGTACCAGCCAATCACAAATCTATAGTGTCTATTTCTGCATCACCAGGTGCTATCTCATGGGAAATATCCTCTTTTTTGGCAGGCACACAGCGCTCTACATTATCTGTCATTTTCATTAGATTCAAGCTACAGCTGAGCCAAAAAGACTTAGTTCTAGCATATGTGCTCAAAATGGCCAAGATGAGATTGTCCAAATTCACCCTTTCAGGATTGTATTAGAAAACAACCAGAGCTAAATCTAAAAATTAGCAGAGCAATGGAACTGCATTTGGAAAACAACAAATGCCACAAGCTCAAATGATTCCAGCTTATCATAGTCATCACCTCCAAAAAGCTCCAAGGAGCCTAAGTCAGCAATGTCAATGTTTTTTCAACACTTTTTTTTGTACAGCCAAAATGTGATGATGTCAACAGAGAAGAACAAGGACATCACAACAAGACAAAATTCCACTGTATTCCAGTAGCTCACAAAAGTAAAGCAGGATGCCTCTGATTATATACAAGTACAACAGTTTTATGGGTCATTCTTGTTAGATACTGAGTCAGCAGTAATATATTAGTTGGGACTGTTGTTTATTAATATTTCTGTAGCTAAACTGTGTGAAGTGGGACTATGAGCCTTTCTTCAATTACAATAAAACAGTAATATTGTACCATTTAATGAGGATGGGCTTAATTGGGATGGCTGCTTTATTAAGGCACCTCCCAAGAAAGTAATTTAGCCTAATGTTAGTGAATAGCAGTGTACGCTGCTTAATTGGGATGGTAGTAACAAAAATTCTGCTTAATAGGGATGCATTTGGCCAGTACCAAGGGGTTAAGTGGTGTTTAACTAGGTGTTAGATGGATATGAAATTCTCATCTTTGTTCCTTCAATAAAGAAGTTGCCAAATAAGAAAAATATAGAGATTTTAAAATATAATTCAATAAAAATTATTTTTAGTCTTTTATTTCATTGTTAGGAACCTTAAAATAGTTCATTTGTTCATTCCCATTCCCATTCACTTTGACAAAATGTACAAACTCTTTTACACACTTTCTGTAAACACTAATTAATATATTATTTTCCCTCTAATTTGTTCACTACAGGAAATTTCACATGAATTATAAATTCCTCCATTTAATAGGATATAGGTTCACAAGATACAGGGCCAATATTTTTACTCCATTTAAATTTCATTGAAATCAAAATTGAACTTAAATGGTCCATTGGCCTTGTTGTGGTCCTCTACATAGATGTGAATTTCACCCTGAATAATTAAAATAATTAACATGGGTTTGCATGCTGGAAGAGTTACACATACTCATGGAAATATCTTTTAGTTTGAATGTTCAAATCCATTGGAATGTTCAAAAACCTTACTCAAGCCCTTCAGAGATGCAGAGACAATATTATATGACTTCGAAGATCTATCAAAGTGCAAGTTACCAATAGCAAATAATTGTAGTTCCTAATTCATAAACCAACAGTTCATACTGCATGGGCTGAAATTCTTAACATTAAACTTTTATCAATTGATTTTGAATAACAAACAGATCTATAAAGATCAAACTCTATTTGTGGATCATGTGCACACCAAAAAAAGAACTAAAATTCATGAATTAAGTTATTTAGCACAAATAGCTCTGACCAGAAATGCACAACCAAGACAAATAGATCACTCCAGTCTCTCAGTTAATGGGGTTCTACTGTATACACTTGCCTACCACTAAGAGTCTTGCTGTAGAAATTAGAGTAAATGAAATACTTTCTCCTTGGTAAATGTCCCTCCAGACATCAAATCAAGGTATGTATTTCAAAATTGAAGATGTGATTAGAAACAGGAGCTTTGATAACAAGTATTTAAAAATCTCACCGCTTGTCCTCTGCATTTGTACTGTCACACCTATAAAGGAGTATGTGATCTGAAGAGCTGTCTAATGACTCTGTCTTGATTCTCCCTGAAAACACTACCTTCCCATCTCACTCCAAAACTATTTGTTAATGTAATTATTGGGGACAGCATCTACTCCAATGGAAGTCAATGGCAAAATTCCCCTGGACCTAACTGGTGGTAACTTTAGGCCTTAATGTATCCTGTTTTGCTAACCAACAAAAATAACTATAGACAAGGAAACTCATCACCTTATATTTTGATTTCATTTATCACCGTGTTAATGGAAACATGACAAGAAAACCTGAAAACATCTGAGTGAAAGAACACACAAATAAACTTTCAAACTGTCTTTCAGCAAGTGAATCTAAAGTTATTGAATATGTAAATTGCCTTATTAAGAGAAGAATGATGTCTTTTTCAGCAGTCACTTTAATTACCCTGAAACCCTTAAATAGAGAAATCCAACTAGTTTTGCACAGCAAAAATTCTTTAGAAGAGGAACTTAGGTATAAAAGATCAAAAATAAAAAAAATTCTAATTATTTGAAAAAAAAATACCAACACGCTTACAGTTTCTGTTGGGACACCATCAATATTACACATCTGCACCATGTTACTCGGGAAAGTTCTATGGAGACATTAGCTGTCTGCCTTATACACATTCTTAGTCAATGCCATTAGCCTTCCACTCTCAAAAACACTTCAAATATTTTAAAAGAAAGAAAGTATATGAAATGTCTTTACCCTGGCTTTCAAAAGGCACCTGTAGTCCAGATGAGAAAGTTCTAACTAGCCCTGGTAGCACCAGTGTATGGTTATGTATTTGCCAATATTTCCATTCTAAACCCCTTTCTGTAATAGTTACTTACATATCAGGCAGCTAGGGTGTCCCTAGTCTTTAAAAAAAAAATCAACCAGAATCCTTTCCCACAATAGGTGACAAAGGCCTCTGTTGAATTCAGTGAGCATGTCCCATCCCACATCCAGAAGTGGAATTTGACCCTTGTTTTGACACATTGGTTTCAGAGTGTAAAGGCATGTCTAAACTACATCCCTCTTTCGAAAGAGGGATATAAATTAGACAGATAGAAATTGCAAATGAAGCTGCACAGCCTTCCCTGCTGGTATGGACAAGCCCACTGCTCCAGCTGAGCCCCCCATAATTGCCAGCACTGCCTCTGGCAGCTGCCAGCACTCTGCCTGGGGCCAAAAGAGGAGGACACAATCCCGGTCTGACATGGAGATCTGGGGTGAGGAGGAGAACCAGCGGGATCTCCACACCAGATGCAGGAATGTGGACATTTATGTCCAGATCGCTGACAGCCGGGGCTTCTGACAGGACCCACATCCCCATCTGGGCCCTCGACCACCAGGCATCTGAATACAGTAACCGGAAGGAGTACTTTTAGATGGTCCTGCAGGTCCAAGTCACCCATGTTGATTACTCTGCACAGCAGGACAGTGTGGATGGCTCTCAAAAGGAGAAGGAGACAAAAACATCAGTCCCCAGAAGTGGCAGTGCACAGTGTGCAAGGGAGGATGGGAGGGGTCAAGCTGCATGAGCAGCAACCGGAGAGAAGTGAGGAATTGTGCCACAAAGAGCTGAGGGTCCTGTTCCTGCAGGGCCAGGAAAGCAACATGCAGCAACTGCAGCAGGAGGTGCACTAAGACATATAAGAGCCATCACCTGTTTGGAGGCTCGTCTGGCTCCATGGCTCTCCACAAGGGCAAATTCCCTCAACGAGGTAGGCAAAAGAGAAGAGCCTGGGACGCTGGAGCCTCAGGCAGCTTCAGGCAGCAGAAAGAGAGTGTTGTCCTGATGCCCTGCTTCTGGGTGGTTTAAATGCAGTTCAGCAACCAATGAGTATGGACATTTTATTTCAAAATAGCTCATTGCTGTTTCGATGGGCATTTTCTGTGTAGACACGCTATTTCAAAATAAGCCATTTCAGAGTATTTCCTCCAAAATAGCTTATTCTGAAACAAGTGTGCAAAGTAGACGGGCCCTGAGAGGAAGTTTGGGTGAAGTAGTGGGTCGTGATCTGGGGCAGGGGATTGGGGTGCAGGGCCTGGGAGGGATTGAGGGTTCAGGGGTGAATTTGATGTTGGGGAGGGTATAGCAGGGAGTGCAGGATCTAGGAGGGAATTGTGACCAGGGGAATTGTGAGCAGAGGATTTGGATGGTGACCTAGGACAGGAAGGGTGGTGACCTGGGACAAGGAGTTGGGAAGTGGGAGAGGCTGGGATGCTGGAGTCAGAGACTGCGTGGAAGTCACTTACCTTAGGCGGCTTCCGGCCAGCAGCCCAGCAGGGTCCTTGAGGCACACTTCCTCCTGCAATAGCTCCAGACTGCTCAAGGAGATTCCCTCCATGAGCCAGTCAGTACTGCATGTCCCTGGAGGATGAGAGACTTTGCATGCTCCCCCACTCATAGGCTGATTATCGCAGCAAGGAGCAGGGCCTAGAGTAGGGGAGTGCATGAACTCTTGCACCCCCCACCATGGTGTGGCAAGGGTGCAGCACCTAGAAGGAACCGACAGCCATTTTGATCAGCTAGCAGCTCCCTCTATGGCCAACATGCCCCTGATAGGAGTGGGGGGAGGAGGAGACTTTGCACGTTCCCTTTCCCCAAGGCTAATCAGGGCCTGGGGGTGGGGGAGCACACAAAGTGTCTTGCCCCACGTCTGCTTGCCTCGGCCAGGGGTGCATCTTGCTGTTCAAAATGGCTGGTGGCTCCCTCAAGGTGCCACGCGCCCCTGGCGGAGGGGAGCCACCAGCTGTTTTGAACAGACTCTAGGTCCTGGCACAGCAGGCTTCAGGCCGGATCCAATGGCTTGGCAGGCCATATCTTGCCCACTCCTGCAACAGTTACTAGAGCTGTGAGTGAGAGTTAAACATGTACTTTAAAATTGTGAAAGGCCTCATACTCTTTCATTAGAAGAGAACTAACACCATCCAGGCAAAACATTTTCAGAAATTATATATTAAGCCCAAATAACGAACAAGCAAAGCTATAGGGCCAAATCTTGAGGATTTCAACCAGGCAAAACTTCCATCAAAGTCTACAGGAGTTTACCTAAGTACTGTTCACAGAACTTGGCCCAAAGTGTATAGAATCCACTGCAGTCTGCAACACTCTGAAGGACCCATAAAACATCCTCATTTCTTTTATTTCTGGCAGTGTACAAAATACTACCAAATCCACCAGTGGCTTCTGTGACAACAAAAGCACCCTGTAGGCTTATGTACTTGCCTTTCCTTCAGAAAGGAAACAAATTTTAAATCCTGTTAGGGTTAGAGTTGATGATCTCATTTTTGTCCGAGGTGGACATTTGTCTCCATAACAAAGCTAGTATACTGTTTGGCGCAATTGTTTGTGATTGGCAGCATCTGCTCAGGAGAGGCCCAAGGCTGGAGGATGTAGAAAAGTTTCATTATAGAATTCAGACAAGGTCAGCTTCATGCAGAGAGTAACAAGAAGTCTTGGTCCCTAAAGCCTTTGTCCTACTGATGTAGGGTTTTGTATTTTGATGACACTTTAAGGGGAAAATGGTTTTCAGCTGTTAACTGCTATGCGCATAAAGGTTATCAAAACTGTGAAGAAATATGTCCCATGTTTAAGTTAAAAACAACTAAGTTTACCTACTCTACCTAAAATAATCTATCTAGAGCTGTCC